GGCCCCTTGGTATGTGAGGCTAATAATAGCTTTCATTTATATAGCATTTAACAATTCACATGCATTTTGTCATCTGATTTGCACAACTCTATGGCATAGGTTGGCAGGTGTTACTGTCCCCATTTCGTAGATGAGTCTCAGAAGGGTAAAGCCACTTGTCCAAATTCATATACCAAGTAAGTGGTAGATCCAAAAGAAGAACCCACTTGTTCTGGTTTCTGATCTAATGCACTTAATTCATAGCTGGCTTTCCTTTTGATTTAGCCAGAAAACTGGAGGCAGACAGGGGTAGGGAGGCTGGAAACCACCATATCGGGAGCTGTTAGATCCTGGTAATTAACTGCAGTGGTCTATTATAATTCAATTTTAATTTGATGCAGTAAACATATTTAACATGCAGTAGCTACTAAGAAATTAAAGACTTGGAGGAAAGATAAAAGAGAATAGCTTTCCCCCCCTACTACCATCAAGGCTAATCATTTACCTCCTAACTATCCATACTTTCCCAATTAAATCCCACAGTTCCCTAAATAACTGCACAACATTCTTCTCTAAGATGTTGGATCAAAGGTGCTAAAATTGAATCCTCTACAATCTTAATATATCTTGAGAGCTGGGAATTTTATACCTGAATCCCTGATAAACCCAGAGACACTGTCTATATTACTGAGATTTATCTTGGCTTCTTATCTAGAAGAGGGTCTCAGTGCTCTTTTACACTCCAAATGAATTCATGATGAGGGCACCTGTTGCTGGTCTATGATCTTTGAACATTCAGAAAGAATGAAAAATACACAGGCACTTAACAGAAATAGGCAAAACAAAAAACCGTTCTCCAAGTGGTCAAAGGATATGGAAAAAAGAACTTTCTCAAAAGGATTGAAAACATTTAACAACCTTATGAAAGGATGCTCCAAATCAGTAATATTAAAAATGCAAATCAAGACCTCAAGATCAACAAATTGGCAAAGATGACAAAAGATGAGTATAGTCAGTGTTGGAGAGATTTTGGAAAGACAGGCACATTAATGTACTGTTGGTAGAGCAGTGAACTTGTCCAACCATTCTGGTACCTCCTGATCTCAGAATGGCTAAACAAATTATAATACATGAAGGCAATAGAATATTACCATACTGTAAGAAACAATAAGCATGCTGATTACAGAGAACTTTGGGAAGACACATAAACTAATGCAAATTGAAATAAGACCAGGAAAACAATATGGGGTGTCATAAAAGTCTTAGCGCAGTTTTAAGTTTAATTTCATAAGTATAAATGCCACAAATTCACCAAAAAAATTAGTTATTAGTATGTCAGAATTTAAAAAAAAACATTTAGTTATTTTAATTTTAAAATATTGATATGTTTTATTAAAATTCAACATAACCATGATCTTGTGCCATATATTGCTCTGGTTTATTTTCAAACTTTGTGAAAATTTTCATTAACTGCTGCTCAGTGATTGAAAAGATTCCATTTGTAATCCCAGCCTGGAGATCATCCAAAGAATGAAGTTTTGATGTATGCATTACCATTTCAATATGACCTCACAAGAAAAAGTCTAATGGAGATAGATCAGGTGACCAAGGTGGTCAAGCAAGAGGAACTCCTCTACTGATCCATTGGTCTGAGAAAGTGTCATCCAGAAAGTGTCACCAGCCATACATAATAAGAGGGTGCCTCATCTTGTTGAAAAAAATGATGTTATTTAATAATTTTCAAGTATTGCTAAGTAAAATTCACCACTAACTGCATATTCTTCAAAAAACAAAGGAGCAACATTGTAAGACTTCCTAATGGCTCACCAAACATTAACTTTGGGGGAGTCTCATGTTGCCAGACCTGCTAAGGTTTTCCTGCAGCCCTAATGTGCCATTTGTGATGGTTAACTTTGCCACTTAGGTGAAAGGTCAACTTGTCAGGAGCATCATTGGAATTTTCTATTTTTTTTTTACTTCATCAGCTAACAGAAGTCTAATTTTTGCATAGTAATCCTCTCTTTGTAGCATCCAAAAAAATGTAAACTTGTAAATATGCTTTTGAAGTTTCACTATTAGAATTCTATGCACTGTGGCTTTTGCATTGTTCAATTCAGTCAACACAGAACACCTTGATTTTGGGGGGATTCTGTTCAAATATATTCTCAATTTCAGCCACAGAATCTTCACTTGTTTAGCATCTCCCATATCTAGTCTTGTATGAAATGAACCGTTTTCTTGAATTTTTTTCACCAGTTACTAATTAAATTTCTGTAGGAATCCTCCTTCTTGTCATGGGAGGCAAATTTTGTTCTTACTGCTGTTGTGGACTTGAGTTCAGCTAACCAGAGAATGCAATTGACTTTTTTCTTCCATGTTTGCCATCTTCAAGACACTAAAACAAAAATTTTAATTTTATTATTCCAAATTCACAAGAATAAAAAAATCTAAATAATCAAACTTCAAAATATTTTTGTAAATTCATGTTATTTATATTTATGGAGCTATTAAAGCTTAATGCTGCGCTATGACTTTTGGTATACAGTATACATATAATTACAATCATGTCAAAGGAAAGAACAACAGTAAATAGTTGAAACTGAATGCTGCAAAATTATATTGGCCAAATTTGGCCCCATAGAAGAGTTAGAGGAAGTCACTTCCCCTGCTTCTTTGCAGAGGTGGAGGACTATGGCTATGGAACACTGCATACATCAGACATTTTCAATGTGTTGTTTAGTTTTTCCTCCCTTTTTTAATTATTTTAAAATTTCATAAGATAACTGTCTCTTATGGAAAATGTAGGAGATATAAAAACAAAAAAAAAATCCATTTTTTTAAAAAGAAGTCATACTAGGAGAAGTGCCATGAAATTGGAGATAGTCAAATATTATCCAGATTGTTTTATAAGAAAGGAAAAAATGTGGAATCTTCACACCATAGTCTGTGAACTTAACTTTGATTACTGGTACCAACTCTAGAACAAGGGATCCCAGCTGGGGTCTATGAACTTGTTTTTTTTTTTAATTTGAATAATTATATTTCAATATAATCAGTTTCCTTTGTAATCTTCTGAATTTTCTTTTATTCATTTAACAGTACAATTATGAAAAGAGGTTCATAGGTTTCACCAGGCTTCCAAAGGGTTCCATGACACACACAAAAAAAGTTAAGAACCCCTGCTTTGAAGCACATTATTAAAGAAATGGTTTGTGAGGCTTCAAAAAGGGAAGTGGCAGCCTAGCATGGCTTCATCAAATAGATGCTTAACTAAATATATGTTTGTTGAACTGCCATGCCAGCCTAACCTCATTCCCTTTTTTGACAGGGTTATTAGGTTGGTAGAGAAGGGGGATTCCATAGGCAAATGTAACTGAATTTAGCAAGACATTTGACAGCCTTCTTGTTGAAGTTGTGAGTTAATTGGAAAGATGTGGGCTAAATGATAACAGTTATTATTATTATTATTATTACTAATAGCTGGCATTTATATGATTCCTGGATGTGCCAGGCACCTTTTGATCCTCACAACCCTGGAAGTAAGTGCTATTGTTATTGCCATTTTACAGTTAAGGAAACTGAGGCAGAAAGTTTAAGTGATTTCCTACACAGTAAATATCTGAGGTTGGATTTTAATTCAGGTCTTTCCTGACTCCAGGTCCAATGCTTTATCCACTAGTTATAGAAATTTGGAATTCTTTGACCAAACCCAGAGAGTAGTCAATGGGCCAGTGTCATCTTGGAAGTAGGGCTCTAGTGGAGCATCCCTAGGGATATATATGTCCTTGACCCTATGCTAGTTTCATCAATGACTTGGATAAACATATGGCTCACATGTTTATGAAAGCTTGGTGAGATGGCGAACTTGGCTACAGTCAAGATCCCAAAAAGCTCTTGTTAGGCTAGAATGGTAAGTTGAATCTAACAGGGATGAATACAAAGCCTTTTATTTGGGCTTTAAAAAAAATAAATAAATAAAGGCTCTACAAGTATTTGATGCAACAGGCAGGGATTTTTAAAAATTATGAAAAAAATCTAGGAATTTTAGTAGATTGTAAACTCAGTATGAGCCAACAGTGTGTCCTGGCAGACAAAAAGTAAACTCACTCATATATTAAGAGAATCAATGAGGTGATAGTTTCCCTATATTCTACTTAGTTTGATGATATCTGGAGCATGGTGCTTGGTTCTGAAGTATGCCAAATTTTAAGAAATTCATACAAGCTGAGTTGTGTCCATCAGAAGTCATCTAGGATGGTGGGGAAGAATGGATGCCATGACCTACGCAGATTAGTTGAAGGAACTAGAAATGTTTTACCTGGGGACAGAAAGTTCAGAAGAAGAGCAAGATAGCTAATTTTAAGTTTTTCTAAGGCTGTTGAGTAGAGAGAGATTAGACTACATTTGGTCCCACAAGGCAGAATTAGCAACCACTGATGGACGTTACATTAAGGAGACTAAGTTCAATGAAAGAAAAACCTCCTGGCAATTCAAGATATCCAAAAGTAGAATGAGCTCCATCTGGGGTGGTGGATTCCTTCTCACTAGAGGATAGAGGGCAACTGGTCATCCTGTTCAGGTGCAAATTGGATGAGATGACTAGGTCATCTCTGAGGACCTTTCTAACTCTGAGATTATAGCTATCTGTTAAATATCTAGAGTATATGATGACAAACCAAGTCCAATTAAGTCAACAAACATTTATTAAGCACCTATGTACCAGATATGGTTCTAAGCACTGGGGATAAGAAAAGAAAAAAAAAACAGTTTCTGCTGAAGACCTGGGAGAATCCTACTCCTATTCCAACTGAATTGATTTGGGTTGGCACAAATCCACAGAACACCCAGAATGGCCCTTGCTTATGACTGGAGTAATTGGGTCATAGACCCATACACTTAGCAGGCTTTTCTGCTGTAGAGAACAGAGCTGGAGCAAATTGTGGGGTTTAAAATGGAACCAAAATGCTAGCTAGCTCTTCAAATTGTGTTCTGAATAACTGTGTTTCACTTGTCTCTTTCAGAATGTACTCATTGTGGAGGTAAGCTGACTTGTCCCCATCCAATTTTTGATAGTTGGCAGATTGTTATGGTGAGTTTTTAAATTAGCACTGGCTCCCCATCTCCACGTCGCTATTGGATTCCCATCATGTACTAGCTGTTACTTGGATTCCATAGAACAGGATAGTACACATCTAATTGCTGTCCTTAAATAGCTTAGCATCTCTCACAATTGCTCGGAACAAGAAGACTTGGATGCTAGAGTCAATTGATTTATTGATAGACAGTCTGAGTTCCACAGCTTCCCAGGTAGCCTTTACTTAACACTAATTATCCTCAGTTTTCTCAGTTTTTCTGTTTTAACAGTGGTAATAATATCCACCTTACCTGCCTAACAGAATTTCTGTTAGCACCAAATGAGGTAATGAATGTGAAAATGCATTGCAAATGATCAAATGTCATGCAAATGCAAGTTTCCATTATCTGGAAATTGATTAAATGGCTATTATGTGCTGCTACCAACCCTTGAGAGGTAATGGACTCAGATACAGATTGAGACTTTGGGGACATTTTCTTTTTGTTTTTTGGATTTTTTTTTTTTGCTAGGCAGTGGGGTTAAGTGACTTGCCCAGGGTCACACAGCTAGTAAATATTATGTGTCTGATGTCGGATTTGAACTCAGGTCCTTCTGACTCCAGGGCCAGTGCTCTACCTGCTGTGCCACCTAGCTGCCCCGACATTTTCAATTAGGAATTTGTTTTGTTTGACTGTACATGTTTGTAACAGAGGTATGGTTTTTCTTGCCTTCTCAGCTGAGGGGAAGAATAAGAGGGAAAAAATGTAGATCTGAAAATAAAATGTAATATAAAAGATAAAAATCATCGACAATGTGCAAGACACAATTTTTTTTTCAAAAAATTACTTTGCTTTTGGACCATGGGATTTAGGGCTGGAGAGTACTTTACAGATCATCTCTTCTAAGTCCTTCGTTTATAGATGAGAAAACTGAGAGCTAAAGGAGTTAAGTGACATGATTAAGGTCACATAGGTAGCAAATAGGCCACTTTATCCGTTTTCTAAGGGCTTTGACTTCTCTTGACTCATTTGATCTTTACAACAACTGTGTGAGTTGCTCAGCCATTTTCAGACTCTTTGTGATCCCATTTGGGTTTTCTCAGCAAGGATACTAGAGTGGTTTGCCATTTCCTTCTCCAGCTCCTTTTACAGATGAGGAAACTGAGGCAAACAGGGTTAAGTGACTTGCCTAGAGTCACACAGCTAGTAAGTGTCTGAAGCCAAATTTGAACTTGGGAAGATGAGTCTTCCTGACTCCAGGTTTTGCCATCTATCTACTGCGCCATCTGGCTGCCCCAGTATGATGTAGGCAAGATCATTTCTATTTTACAGCTGAAGAAATGCCTGTGTAGTCTCAGCCAGTTAGTGACAGGGAGGAGACCATCTTTAGTTGTCCTGATCTATATCTTGGCACTTGACCCAGATGGCTCCGGAGGAGACAGTGAGGCTGGTGACTTTGTGTAGTTCTGCCTCACTTAAATCCAATTCACTTGCAAGTCAATACATCACCTTTCTGATGTCATTGGTCCTCTTTGAGAATGAAAGACAAATAATCTAGAGACAGGGCCGAGGGAGCCCAAGTTTCCCTGTGTCTAAGCTTGTGCTCTCTCTCCCACATCCTCTCCCATCTAAGACAGCTTCCAGAGTTCCAGAGAGGCCATTCATCCATTGGACAGCTGAGATGGAACTTGCGGCACATCTGTCCAAAAAGGAAGAAAGTAGTCCTGTCTAGAGCGCGGGTTATTAACCCGAGATTTGCAAACTTTTTTTTTGGTCTCTTTGTTTTTGTTTTTGTTTTTGTAAAAATATTTTATCCTGTGGATTTTATTTTATGCATTTTAAAACATTATTTGGGGGAAAAAAAGACCCATAGGCTTTACCAGATTGACTGTCAAAAGGGGTCCATGACACGAAAAAAATTAAATTAAATTAAATTAAATTAAGAATCCTTGGTCTAGGATAAGCATAGGCAGATATTTTCAATGAACCACATATAGTTCCCAAATGAACTTTGTTGAGAAAGGATTCTCAGGGATTGCCCTATGATTGCTTATATAGGTCACATGTATATAGGCCTGTTATTTTTCAACAAAACTTGTGAAGTGTCCTCCATTCAAAAAAGTTACTCAACCCCGGCTGCTGGGATATAAATCTTTTGTTTCACCGCTCAGCAGCTGGTTTTTTCTTTTTGTTCATTTTGTTTGTTTGTTCATTTTTTAAGTTTCTGTGGCCTCCTTTGCTTTAATTGTGCCTCAAGTCATCCTCTGTGATGATCCCCAGCCAAGTGCAGTTGTGCCCACCCACCCCCACCTCTCAGTTCACTGCCTGTAACCAGCTGCTTTCCAGACCTTTAGCTTCTTTAGTCACTGAATCCCTCCCTAAATGGGGCTGAGGAGGTGGGGGAGGTGTTTATATTTTAAGGTTATTCAAATGTAAAAAGTATGTCCATGAAAATTCATGTGCATTGTATTGTGTCCCATAACCTCCAGGCCAAATTTAGCCCTTGAAAATATACTCACAGCTCCAATTCTAATCAGAGGGAAACCACACATGCATATCCAAAGATTGAATTTAGCCCTGCAAGCTAACAGCCAAAGGCTTCAAAGAGTAGCTTCGTCAATACTCAGCTCCCTGGGAGAAGTAAAAGCCTTGAAATAAGTGGTCCAGCCAGCTCCCCACCCTCCCGCTCTCTTGATAATATTCCTAATCAAGGCACATTGTTATCGGGAAGATTGATGTTGAATGTATCTATGTCCTTTTCACAAAGGATGTTGTTGGAACTGGGAGGACCATGAAATCTCTGCTTGGCAAAATAAAAAAATACAAGCCCAACATGATTAAAGTGGCAAGGTAAGTCTGAAATTCACAAAGTCTCTTCTTTCTCATTTTAAAAAGTAAACCAAGGCGCATTCACAGAGTATGGATGTCTTACATGATCCTTTGTTTCAGGGAGACCTGTGATTGGCCACAAATAAAAAAAAAGTGGTCCCCTTGGCTCCTAGGCTAATAATGAGGCAAGGGAAGGGAAAACATTATTCTGTACCTTCTGGAGCCCTCTTCTACCCACCACTCACTCTTTGGCCCTTTCTAGGAGTAGCTTAGATGAGCCCCAGAGATAGTACCCTACTTACTTCTTTAATCGGAGAGATAGTTGTCATGGTACAAGAAATTGCAATAATTCCAAGAATGAAAGCAACATTCTTATGACTCCAAGATGACCATGGTAATTCAGTAGGTCCTCAGGTGTGGGGTGGCAGGAAATGCATCTTAAAGATTCTGAATAATATAATATAATAATAATAATATATAATATAATGAAATAATAATTCTATTATTATAATAATATATAATATTACAATAAGTCCATCCAAAGAGATGTTATTTCAGCTACTTATAACATAGTACCTCTTTCTAATTGTAGTTTGTTGGTGAAGAGAACTCCCAGAAGTGATGGCTTTCAGCCTGACTGTAAGTACTCTTCCTGAGAATCTTTTGACTATCAGTCAGTGATATTCTATGTTCATGTTCCAGCAGAAACCGTGTAGGACTGGCAGAACCACTATGTCCCTCTGATGGCTCCAGCTGCCTAGCAGGGAGAATGGGCCCACAATCTGATGATGGGGGATCCTTTCAGTGGCAGATTCCCAGTTTGCACGTCTCTGTCTTTGTGGGGGTTGTTGAACTTGGTTATTTATCACTGTTCTTGGCTTTACATCATGACTTTGTTCCAAAGAAGCCATGTGATAATAACTCAAATGATTGCAATGGCCCACTCCTTCTAAGATCTTCCTTGGGGTGGAATGCTGCCTGTCTGAACAGGACAGACTAGAGCCACCCTCTTCAATTATTGTCTCCACTGATCATCCATGAGAAAAAAAAGTATAAATATGGGAAGGTTTGCTCAAATGGCCATTCAGGAACTATTTCAAAACAAAATTAATATTGGTAAAGTATCATTTGACTATATTTTGATAACTCCTCCTAGATTTGGCCAATTATTAAAAATTGCATGAAATCAGGAATAGGGAAAAAAAAACTCTCAAAAGCACCCTCACAGGCCTTGGCTCTCAGAACACGCTATCCAGGAGGTGAACTTTCTCTTCACAGAATGCAACTCTCCAATTCTTCCACAAGTTACAGGCAGGTCAGAAGCCTGAAAAAATAAACCTACAGTCCAGTGATTTATTATATTATCTGTAGAAGTGACCCTTTTTTCCCTCAGTTGCATGGTATCTGGAATGTCATATAATACAAAATGGCCATGAATTGATTTTCCTAAGTTACGTTTGCCATGAAGTCCTGAAATAATTTGGCTGAGGTTTTGGTCAGCAAGCTGAATAAACATTAGAGCAAGGGAAGTACGGTATGGATGGGGAACATGCCAATGACATCAAGTGACTCCCTTTATACCAAAAACAATTTTTTTTTCCAAGACTAAAACATTTTCTTATTTACATGCTAGCAAAAATAACTAGAGTTTCTGGAAAAAAAAATGATCATATAGCATTCTAATTCAGTAAGCACTGATTAAGAGCATGCTGAGCCTTATGCCAAATATCTAGCATGGTGTCTGGCGTACAGGTGGTACTTAATAAATGCTTGTTGGTTGATTGATTCATACAAAAATCAATAAGACTTGCACCTTACTATCAGGATTTTTAGAGAATAATAGGCAACGTATACACTTATGATTTTAGTACAAAATAGACTACGAGGGGTGCATAAGAAAAGTGCAAACAAGTGAATATGAAAGATCTGACTATGTCCAGATGGGTATTAGGGAGGTAGCAGATCAGTGAAGGTTTCCTGAGAAAGATGACATTTGAGCTAGGCCTTGAAGGATGGGTTTCAGCAGGTTGAGACAGGGGATGAAGGCATTCCATGTGGCTGGAATAGTGTGACCAAAGACAAGAAGGTGAGAGAGCTCAGAATGCTTATGGAATGATGAAAAGCCTTGTTTGGCTGAAGTATGGGATGCAAGATGAAAAATAGCACGGTGAAAAGTTGTGATTGGCAGGTTGATTGACAGATTACTACCTTAAGGTGGATGGCTTTCAATCCTGGGCTAGGAATCTGGCTTTTTTTTTTTTTGTAGGTCATTTGATAGCTGGCATTTATAATGCACTTGAGGTGCTATTATTATGACCATTTTACACATGAGGAAACTAAGACTAAAACAAATAAAGTTACTTGCCCAGGGTCACACAGCTATTATGTGTCTGAGCCAGGATTTGAACTCAGGTCTTTTTGATTCCAAGTCCAGTACCCTATCCACTGTACTACCTCAACAACTCATGCAGTCAATTTAGAGCCACTGGAAGGTTTCAAGCAGTGGTCTGACATGCTCAGATCTGTGCATTAGTAAGATTGTTAATGTTTATCCTTATGTACTCCTCCTCCCAGGTTGCAATGCAGAGCTGCATGCTTACTTAGGGTCAGTAGCAATGGAGGAGACCTTGGGGATTCATTCCTACTTTCAGGCAAGACCATGGATATGTCACCTTCACAGAAGGAGATTCCACAACCCAGATCTGAGTGACCCAACCTGGTGTCTAATCACCTTCCCTGTCAGGAAATTCTTCCTATTCTCAACCTAAATCTCTCATGCTGCAGTTGAAGCTGGTTTCCTCTCGTCTTGACCTTTGGAGAGATAATGCACTAACTGCTACTCTGCTTATTAACCTCTTGCCTACTTGCAGACCCTTATGAACCCCATGCTCAGAATTCCCTTCTTCAGGCTGAATCTTCCCATTTCCTTTGACCTTGCTCCAGCAGAGTTGGTTTTCCTCCACCTGGGTGGCTCTCCCCTGAATCCGACCAAGTACAATGGCAGGATTACCTCCCAGTTGCTGCATTCCAGCCTCTTCTCGATGCATGCAGTATTCCAAGAATCATGGCTGCCATTTGTAGAGCCATCAGAGCTGTAAGGATGCGTTCACTGACATTACTTAATTTGATGGTGTTTGCTTTTTTCACAGCATTACATGAGAAAACTCATGTCTGGCTTGTTATTCACCAAGGCGCTTGGCTCTTTCTTGACTCTATTTGTTCAGAGAAATTCTTCAATACGATTTTGCTTGCAAAGTATACCGTGTCACCTAAGCCCTTATTGAACTGCATCCAGGCCTGTGTATTCCGTATCATTTCACTAGCTTGCTTCTGGCCAAATGAATAAATGGATACAGAATGAATTCACAAAGCCCTGTTAGCTCAGAGATTTGTACTTATCTTGTCTTTTTTTTTCCTACTAAGACACTGGATTTGAGATTCCAGATTTATTTGTGGTGGGCTACGCCTTAGACTACAATGAATACTTCAGAGATCTCAACGTAAGTCTTTTGATGCTAACCTACTGAGAATGTCTAGATTCAGTTCCATTTATCAGAGATGTTTTGAAAAGCATCACAAAAATGAGAGATACCATGGCATGATGGGTAAAGAGGTTGGTGTTAGAGTCAGGGAGATTTGGGTTCAAGTGTTATTTTGCCACATATTAACTCTATAACTATGCTTAAGTCATTTGGATAAGCCCCCGGGAAACAACAACAAGAAGAAGAATAATTCGGCAAGTATTTATTAAGCATCTGCTATGTGTCAAGTACTGTACTAAGCATTGGACACACCAAAAAAAATGAAACTATAACAATAATAACACTAATAATGATGATGATGACACCTGGTTATATAGTGCCTTAAGGTTTTCAAAGTACTTTGCACACATAATTTCATTTGGTCATTACAACAATTTTATGTAGGAGATGCTATTATTTTCACTATTTTATAGTTGAGGAAACTGAGGCTTAAAAGTTAAGTGACTTGCCCATGGACATTCCAGTAGTAAGTATTAGATGCAGGATTTTGAATCCAACTTTTTTCAACTCTGAATTCACCACATTGTCCATGTCCCCATACTGCCTCCAACATTCTAAGTTGCAGAGGAATTGCTTAAATGTATCAGTAAATGTAATTCCCACACTGGAAATTCCCCCATGCCAATGAAATCACAGGTCCAGATTTTTTAAAATGATTTTAAATGAAATAAATATATTTTGTCATCATATGCCCCTTACTTAGCAGTGTACCTGACATAAAATAGGCATTTAATAAATATTAATTGGGGGGCAGCTAGGTGGCGCAGTGGATAGAGCACCGGCCCCGGATTCAAGAGGATCTGAGTTCAAATCCAGCCTCAGACACATAACAGTTACTAGCTGTGTGACCCTGGGCAAGTCACTTAACCCCATTGCCTAACCAAAAAAATATATATATTGATTGATTGACTCCTTTTTTCCCCTAAGAAGCTCTAAAAATTTGCCAGATATTTTGTTTAGTTAATGAAAAGACAATCTGGGATAGAAAACTGATCTGAGTCAGGAAGACCTACATATTGGCTATGCGACTGAGCAAGTCACAGCCTCTTGGTGCCCCAGATAACTCTAAACCTATATGTTTCAGAGAGGATGTTGATCTACACTGGTAGGATTTCTCTCACTTGGCATTCCCTAAATATATGATGTTATGTTTTATATTATATTATATTATATTATATTATATTATATTATATTATTATATTATATTATATTATATTATATTATATTATATTATATTATGTTTATTATGTTGTGTTATGTTGTGTTGTGTTGTGTTGTATTGTATTGTATTATATTACATTACATTATATTAATTATATTATATTATATTATATTATATTATATTATATTATATTATATTATATTATGTTTATTATGTTATGTTGTGTTGTGTTGTGTTGTATTGTATTGTATTGTATTATATTACATTACATTATATTAATTATATTATATTATATTATATTATACTATATATTAATTATATTATATCATATGATATCATACGATATCATATCATATTATATTATATCATATTAATTATATCACATCACATCATGTTATATTTATTATGTTAATAAAAATCATAGGCCTAGAAAAAATACCAGAAATACAGGTATGCAGAAGTCATTATTATCTTCTTTTGACAGCTGGGCAGATAGGTACCCTGAGGTAAACTAGGGATTGGTGTGTTATCGCCCAATCCTTCTAGTCATATGCTCTGCCCTCAGGTTTATCATAATAACCAAGTTTCTTGAGCTCATGTCAATGGTGGGAATAACATGACATTTCCCTCCTGTCCTTAAGGCACATGCCATCCACCTAAGAAGGGTTGGAGTCTATGCTGTACTCAACATCATTATTTCCTATCAGGTGGGGGTCAGGAAGAGTAGATGTAGTATATTCACAGAGTGATACGTTCCATCTCCACCAGGGCTCTTCAAGATTCTGTTGTCAGAGTCCAGGACCGACTAGAAATCAAAGCTGCCAGAGTAGAGAACATTAATCATTTGGCAATTGAGTGATTCGCATATGCAGTTTTTGCACATATTTTTTAAAATGATGAATATTGATTGCTTATGTTTGCCACCTCTGTTATTTATGCCTAATTTATGTGTGCCTAATTTGTGTTAAAATCCTTTTATTTCAGCATATATGTGTGATCAGTGAACAAGGCAAAGAGAAATATCGAGTCTAAAGAAGTACGTTCTCACCACCTGAAAATCTGTGAATTTCCTCAACTCTCTAATTGTCCTATGCCTTTGACTACAATCAAGAAGCCTGTGTGTGTGTGTGTGTGTGTGTGAAAGTCAGCTTTGCAGGCATTTTCACGTATTAGGATATTAAAAAGTACTTTCACCTGAAAGCATTCTTTTCAGGGATCATAACACATCAAGAGGTATGTCTTTATCGTGAAATACATGGCATGCCATCTGCTTGGTTTGTTCCAAGTCAAACACTCCACCTGTGACTCACAACTTCTGTCTACCTTTATGCTCCCATGCTAGTCCTTTGGACTCACTGCTTTTCCCTGAAATGCCCCACCCCCACCTTCTAGTTGCTCAATTTATTTTATTTTATTTTTCCTTTAACAATGTCCTAGCTTCCCCCCCCCCCCCCGCCCCGCTTCTGGTCACAAACTGAGAGGTGAAACGTTTTTCTTGAGATCTGAGCCCATACAACTGGGAGGCACACACGTTCCTATGCCCAAAAGGAAGGAGAAAATAAAAAGGCAGTTTAATATATATTTATGTGTTTGCACATTTCTGACAGGCCATTATCATCCGCTTTGTCAAAACCTTTCAGAACCTCAGGGTATGCTGAATCTTAATGACACTATGAAATGAGCCTTTACAGAGCACTCTCGATTTGAACTTCTAGGATGTGACAGTGGCGTGTTGAGTATGCACGGACTTGCTCAACTGTGTTTAATACATTGAATTTTAATTAGAAAAAAACACAATGCCAGTGAGGCTTTCATTTCTAAGCCGTATCCCCTGATTTGAGTGGTCCATGAGCAAATGATCAGATCTGGGGTAGAGAGGACAGCTCCTTTCACATGCATATTTCCATACTTGGAGCTAATCAAGTAGAAGTCTTTGCTTATGTTGAAATTATTCCAATGCTAGTTTCAATTTTCCTCTCTTTTATATCCGAGGGTGAGCTTCCCCGCCCCTCCCTTCACAGTCTCTCTCTCTCTCTCTCTCTCTCTCTCTCTCTCTCTCTCTCTCTCTCTCTCTCTCTCTCTCTCTCTCTTTCTCTCTCTTTCACACACACACACACACACACACACACACACACACACACGTCATAAATGGGAATGCAAGAGGTCCGTTTAAATAAAAGAAATTCTTTTACGAAAATAGTAACAGCAAGCAAGGGATCACAAAAGGTGAGCTGACTTCACAACTTCTGCCATTTTTACAAGATTTTCCTAATTTACAGGGAAGTTTAATGGAAAAAAAGCTTTGGAGTGCCAATAGATCTTACACTGCTCTCCTTCACTTCCTGAAAGAAGCTGTCTCAGCAGAAATAACTGATTAGCCTTTGCTTTGTTCAGAACCCTATGGGGCATAGTATTGTTAAGCTCTGACTTCTTTTAAACTAATAAAGAATAAGAAAACTTGTTACATTTCTTAGCTGTTTATGATTTTTCCCATTCTGTGTTGTTGCTTTCATATATGATATATACAGACCAATATATATATACATATATTTTATATTATATATAAAGCTATTTTATATAATACATATTTATTATATACTTCATATTACATTTCTCCTCTATATTTTATATTTGTATCATGTGTTTTATATTTTATATAAATATATTATAATGTATTCATCTTCTATAACATACGGTATATTCTACATATTATGTTTATATCATGTGTTTTATATTTTATATAAATATATTATAATATGTCTCTTATATACATGAATGTATTATAGTCTACATTTTATATTTAAATCATGTGTTTTATATTTTTATATAAATATATTATAATATATATCTTATATAACATGTAAATATATTATATACATAGGTATATATGTACACACACATTTCCAACCTTTTTTTTAAAATGTATGTTTGGGTCAGTGGCCTATATTTCGGCATATACCCACTCTATGGCTTTATTTTCATTTTTTTTTCCAACCTGGATAAGCTCCAATGTATGCAATAGCCTAAGCAAAGGATGACTACAGAATACATTCTCCTCCTTCCTGGCCCTCCCTGCTGCTTCACTTTGTTTATATAAATATAGAATTTAGGTTGTAAAAGAAGATTTTTTTCCTGTGTATCCCTGTTCCAGTCGCAGAAGAAAACAAACCACACCCAACCATCCCAGGGGAGAAACCAGCAATGGGAATTCCTCCCAGTCCTGTGCTCTAGAAATATTTGTGTCTCCGTTATGGATTGATGGTGACCAGCTCATTTGGTCAATTTCATGGAATATCAGTAGGAGATATAAAATGGGACAGCTGTGTCAAAATAAATAGAATAAGTGTAATTATCCATAATGATGCCTCTTCATCAGCTGCCACGAGAGGACATAGAAGCACATTTCCTTTCCACTCCTGCATTTATTCATGGACACATCCATAAAGTATGCATTACCAAGACCTTATTTTATAAAGTACTTTTATATTAATCAATATTAATAAAGATCAAGGGGTCTGCAGTTTAATTAAAATTTAAAAGTTTTAATCAGTTTCATAAAATTAGTATTTTGGTTTGTAATTGTGAACATGGGAAGAAAGTAAAGGATGTAGATTTTATTTATATATATATAAAATATACGTGTTACATATGTGTGGGTATATATATCTACATATGCACATATTTGTATACATATATGAATATATAA